CGCTCGTGCGTGCTTGCTTTGCTCACATGTGTGCCTTGCTTCTGCACGTGCACAGATCACCAATGACGACATCCGGGGTGGTGGGCGAACCATTTTACTACTGGTTCTTGCGAACTGGTCTGAACTGGGGGCAACCCACCACTGGTCCACAGTTAAAAAGAGGATTTTCTAACTGTACTAAAGCAAACTCTAGTTTAAAAAGGTTGGAAGATACCAACCTTGACAGAAGACACAGAGTAGGACAACACTGATAGTTCCATTTCTCTATTTTAACTCCTCATGTATTCTTTGATCTATGTGAATATGGCAACTGTAATAAAATGCATTCAATTCAGACATCCTACACATATAGTATTAGAGCTGAACTATTATTTCTCTTGGATTTTCCACTCCAGAGTCATTAAATACATAAGACTTCCTCTCTATCATCGGAATGAATGTTCTAAAAAATAAGCCAACATTGGACCTATCCTGCCAATCCAACCAGACTCTTGTATACTGAGTATTGGGCAAGAAATATGGTGACAAGAATTTCTACTGAAATCCACTAGCATAACCCCAAATTTGCAGAATATTTAAAATTCCCCCCTCCCTTGTTTATATTGGGATGTAGGGGAAGCTAATGGGAAGGAAAAGCAGAGACACACAAATATTTCTCAACTTCACTTTTTGCTTGTGGTTTGACTACACCCGGAAGAATGAAGGTTTGAGTGCCTCCATAATTGGAAACTGATTGCCCAAAAGATTAGATTCCAAGAGAGTGTTACAGGTTTATGGCCAAGGACAGCTTATAATACTTTTATGGAAAAAAAAGAGAACATATATCATTTTATATTTTAAATACCAGTTAATCTAATACAAATTTAGAGTTTTGTAGTTTTTCCAAAGGAGAAAAAATTCATTTTGGTTTTGACAATTAAGCCATCTGGTGGTTCAAAATATAAATGTGCCATTACATTTTCCCCCAGTCTAACCTTCTACATATGTTGGTTTTAGAACCAGAGGTTTCAATACATCTGGAAGGGGCCAATCCTGGAAAGGCAGTGATACAACTAGCAATCTCATAAACTGCTTTTTTCCCCGTCAGAGTATGTGCGGTCCTAAAATTGATGCTCATTTACTACCTATGCTATTCTGCCTTTGATATTATGTCAACAATTTTACTCTGACATCTGACATTAATTCCAACATAAATATGCCTGCTTCAACATACAGTCGCTATGAGGCAGACATGCTGTCCTTAGAAATAAACAGAAAATTCAATCCTTTTAACAATTTAATGTGAGAACTATGCTCTGAAAAGGAAACCCAGTATTTGATTGAAAGATAAAAATACGTAATTGCATAACTAAGGACATCTCAGTCTGTACAAAATAAATCCTGTCAGAAATGGAAACCATTTTTCTAGCTTTAATAAACTGCAGTATATGAGCTTAGCAATAGCACTTAGCAATAGCACTTAGACTTACATACCACTTTACAGTGCTTTACAGTCCTCTCTGAGCGGTTTACAGAGTCAGCATATTGCCCCCAACCATCTGGGTCCTCATTTTACCCACCTGGAAGGATGGAAGTCTGAGTCAACATAGAGCCTGGTGAGTTTTGAGCTGGCAAATTGCAGGCAGCCGGCAGTCAGCAGAAGTAGCCTGCAGTACTGCACTCTAACCACTGCACCACCATGGCTCTTAACATATTAGATATATGTTTATTTAGTTGTCAAATTTGTATCCACTTTACCTATTTGGTTTTATAAGCACTAAACTTTAGAGACAATATTATTTTGAATTAAAATTAGGAGAATCAATGGCTTGATGGGCATTGATGAGACAAATGATGTATCTGTGGCACTACAAGATGGTATGCTTCCCACACAATCGAAATACAATAGTCCTGCCACCAAACATATGGCTGACCATTTTCAAGGTTTGGACATGCCTTATTCTAAACACAAGAACATTTAAATCTGGAAAGCATACGGTGAAACCAAATCTGCAAAGTTTTGACTTCTTATCCTTTTTATGTTTCCCACACTCTGGCTTGTGAGAAATGGTTTTATCCTCAGTATTTGGAATGGATCTTATGATTTGGATAATCATCTACAGAAAAGAAAACAACAACACAATCTTTTTTGATTCCCTAGTTAAGGAGGTAATTCACATTAGTGATTTAAAGCATTATCCAGCTGCAGTATTGCTGAACTGATGTATAACTATATAGACAGGTTTGATACATGACAAAGGCTAGTTTACCCAAATTGCTATTGTGCCTAGTCTCCAGAACTAGATTTCTAGAAGATGTAGAGAAATGTGTAACTTCATTTTCCAAGAATTACATCAATATTTTTTTAGGCAAGACACAAGTATGAGTATTTGGAATATTGTCTCATTAGTCACTAGTCTCGTTAATGTCCATCACCCATATAAATTTAAGATAGTCAAATAAATCTCCCATACATAAAATTTTGTTATCTGTTGTTGTTTCATCATTGCATTATGTTTAATGTTTCTCAGAGTTGTCAAAAAGGATGAATATACATTATATGTTTTAATAGCATTCTTATTTTCCCAAGGGATATAAATAATTATGTACACCTCTCAAGTAGAAAAAATGCAGCAGAATTCTTAACTAACTTTTGTGGATGTTATGAAAATGGCAATAATAAGTTAGATCAATTAAGCCTTTTCGTTATAACCATGGGATTATATAGTAGCTATTTCCAAATGTAGAATGTTGTTTAAATAATTTGCAGCACTCAAGCATTTATTTTCAATGCCAAATGAGTGTATTTCAAATGCAATTTTTTACCAAGTTAGCATGGGATTTATATCCAAATGCCTATTGTATCTCCAATATTTATTGCCATTTGAATTGTATATTCTTAAGGTTTATGTCAAAATGTTAATGTCTACATCTTAACCATTCTGTCACAAAAGTCCTATACCATCACCAATATGGTGCTTACCACATAAAGCTTCAAATATCTGTGGGAAGTTCCATGAGCCCCCTGCTGATCAGTTGGAGCTATTGCAAGTAGAACACATGAACTGGGCACAATGGAAAGTATCCAGTGATCCTATTAACTGATGGGTGGGAGACTCAATTCATTTCCTGAATGCAATTAAGGCCATATCATCCAGAATTTTGAGATTGCAGATATAATGAGTATTTTCCTGAGGGACTCACCTGCTCTAACATAAGTTATATTGCATGTAATTTGTCTTGCAGCTTGCTTAAATTAGTATTTTTTCATCAACCTTAGTTTTTTCAATCTCAAAGAGCCTTAATTTAATTCATGAATTATTTTGGAATTAAATTAAGTTCATGAAACAAAATCTGACCCATCCATCCTCCTGACTTATTATGATGTTCCATTCCTCCTTCCTCAATCAGAAAAAAAATTCCTGTACAGTATTTTATTTCATTTTAGCCTGACCATTATGTATATTACTGTGGCTGGTAACAATCCACAAAAAGCACCAGCTATTTTATCCGTTGAAGATGCTCTGAAAGCCAAGGAACATTCTGTATTTCTCAAAGCCGAATTAAGATGTTTGGGAACAGTCATGTTGATGGTCTTTTTATCTCAGCATTCCATAATAAGACAAAGATCTTCATTGGGATCACTAATCCCTGTTAGTTTGAAGTCCCCTAGAGCATTCAGAAATCACTTTGATTCCATTAATCTTCAAGAGAAAACTTACTTTTAAGGGAAAAGTCTAGGATTCCTAATCTAAATCTCATGAAGAAATGATCTTTCCATGACAAAAAGGTAATGGAATCCTTCTACCAAACCCAACCTTCTTCTTTCTCTCCATCAAACCCAATGTATGTTGGACTGATAATGAAAAAAAAAGATCTTCATCATTGTCGAAGTGATCAAGCAGAGAAGTGGTTTGCATAAAAATTTGCAATGAAAAAGAAAAAAATTGAATGAGATTACAAAAGGAAGAGTCTGTATTAATGAATTCTGCGGCTATACAAAAACATTTTGTTATTATCCCAGCTTGTATAAAGGAAGTGACATCTCTCTAGAGAAAATAGATAAATATCTACACAAAAAAAATTACTGAAGATTACAGAGGAAACAGAGGCAGATTATGAAATGACCTATAACAACAAGGAAAGTTTTTGAAGCTATTTGAAAGGTTAAACTAAGAAAGGTGCCTGGATTGGGAAAGCTAAGATGGATTATCAAGCTTTTATATAAACGTTTTTTGAGGATGAACCTTTACAACCTTTACAAAACATGATGAATTCTATTCTACAGGAAGGAGAGAAGCCAATATAGCAGTAATAATTAAAGAGGGCCAAGATTTGATTTTAACAAGAAACTATAAGCCTTTGGCAACTTGAACTGGACTTTCTTGTCCAAGGTTTTGGAAGAAAGAACTTTGGAGAAAACTTTATAAAATGGGTAAAACTGATTTGAACTTCACAGCATAAATAATTGTTAATGGAAATCTAACAAAATCCTGTAAGATATAAAATTTAAAAATGTAATTAAATAATTTAATAAGGAAAAAAGGTAAAATAACTGATTTTTCTGATCACTTTGTTATAATTTAAGAAGCTATGTGACTGATGATTGTCCAAATAATTTAATGAAGTCATAATATTTTAAGCAAATATTTTCATAGTCTTCAACAGAGAATTTGAGTGAATAAGGAGACCAATTGGCTTAATAGATTCCAAGAGTTTAAAATGATAAATTTCCTGTAAGTGGGGAAAGAAAACAGAGCAATGCAGAGACATAAAATAGGACAAGACATTCACACATAAATCTGGCATTATTTTTGAAGTATTTTCAATACTTCATTGGCTGATACAGGCCAATGTATACATACCAGATCAATTCTAACATATTTGTACAGGTACAGTAAGTCCTCAACTTACGGCCATTTGTTTAATAATGGCTCGGAATTACAATAGTGCTGAAAAAAGTGACAACCCATACTTGCAATTATCATTTTTAAAAGATATATATTTTTTATTGTTTACAGATAAATATATTGAATACAGTGTAATTGTCTTGGCGTTCCACTTGCCATGAAACAAAGGTAAAAACAAAATATCATATATACTATTTTAAACAGTGCTAGTGTTTTACAGTAATTTCTGACCATCATATTCTAGTATGTCAACCTATCTATCATTCTAATACCTACATTCTAATATATACATAATGTCTCTTTCCATGTCCACCTAACCTGATTCTTTTGCTTTCCTTGTGTTTCTAACCATTGATAGAAACTATCCCATGTAGCATAGTATTCTGTCTCTCCTGTATCTCTTATTTTTAGTGTTAGCCTGCCCATTTCTGCACAGACTAGTATACTTACATACTTGAAATTATGCTGCAGTCATCTGATCACAATTTGCAACCTTCCCAGCCAGCCTCCAACAAAGTGAATGGGGGAAGTCAGATTTGCTTAACAACTGTGGTGATTCACTTAATGTGGTGATGCACTAAAAATGGTCTTAAAATTGGGTATGGACACATGATGACTTGCTTAACAAATGCATCACTTAATGACCAAAGTTCCCATCCCAACTGCGGTTGTAAACTGAGGATTACCTGTATGGAATATTGTTTCCCAAGGGACTGCAACTTCCAGAATTCCCTAGCCATCATTTAAAGTTCACACATCTTGAGGTTGTTAAGAGTGAGAAAAATGTCATAAATGTACCACAAATGGCAATTCTGTAAACATAAAACCATCGAATTTCAAGGCCACCAAACATCACACCAAGTGTGCATTATACCCAGGCCTATAGAATAATTTATTTATCTCACCAGCAGTAGGACAATCAAGTGTTGTGTGTGGCTTCACTATTATTTACAGCAAAGATTCTAATCTTCCCCAAGTTATATCTGAAAAGCTGCCCAAAGCCATTATTTGCCTCAAAACCAAAGAAAAAAAGAGTAGAGGCTTTAAAGTTTCCATTTGCCCAAACTGGGAAAAAGCTGCTTTTTCTAATCTTTCCACTTCAGGCCTTGCTACCTACTTATTCACATTGATTACAATCACAGATACAGAATTACTAATGTATATTTAAAAATAAATAAAACAAAAATAGACTCTGCTTTTTTGACAAAGCGCCCTGAGTACAAGTGAAATTGAATTTCTCAAGTGAATTAGATATATAGTGGTGTTTCAAATTTGAGATTGGTCTGCATTAAACGGTTGCAAAGTAAAATTGGACAGAGCTTGATTAGAAAAAGATAATAGATGAGAATGTCTATGTCCTTCATTTCCTGCCTCCCCGCATATGCCTGCCATATGTTTTCCCTCTAACTCTTGTTTATATCTGCTTTCCCCAACAGAATTTTGGACACTGCACCAGAAAAAAAAGTAGTTGCACAATTGTGAAAGTGCTAGATATGGAATGAGTTTATTCTTTTACAGAAGACATGTTTCCATGCATCTAACAAGTTTCCTAGAAATTTTCTTAGTTGAAGGATCCAAACTATCCAAATACTTTTTACTGAAAGTTTATACATGTTATATTTTACTTCCTGGTGGATGGGTAGGGAAAATAATGTTTGTTTAATGTGCTTTCTTCTGTTATGATTTTTGATATCTTACAATGTTCTTCATGGCTGTCTTGCTACTTTTAAAATATTTTATTGCCAGTTGTAGATTCTGGACATTGACCTGGAAACTGCAGGAACCAGTATCCTCCTGTGAGAATAGGAAATGTTTGTGTGAATACTTTTTAATGACATTCTGTTGCAGAAGTATGAAAAAAGAAGAAAGAAAAGGCATTTCAGCCAAAAGATGGCACTGCAAGAACATCCATTCTGCTTTAGATACATCTGAACTGAATCCCGGGTTGTTTTTTCTCATCAAATTGTATGCAGGGACCATATGTTCTGTGTGTGTACCCTGCATTGCCTGAAACAGCTGCACACATCTATTCCACTTAGTGAGACCAAAAAAAAAAAAAAAGGTTTAGCTGTGATTCCATATTAAATAAAGATATTTATTTAAATGCATTAGTTTGCTTAACCTGGAAAATTGGGAAAGGCCATTTTCATCTCCTACAGAAATTAAAGAATAATTCAATTTGACTGGACAGCAGTAGCCAAATAAGTAGGAAGATTGTGGGAGCCTTTGCAAATGACATTGCTGTGATGCCAACTATATGAAATAAGAATTTCCATTTAATGATTGAGAAAATATTTAAAATCCGGAGGGCAATAAATGTTTAAAAGATCAAGCGTCTAGTCCCAAATAACAGATGAGCTTTGGAACAGGACTTTCAAAATTTGTTGCAAACATAACATACTTTGGAATTTTAATTCCCCAAACCATATCTGAAATGGTTGATTTGCTGAAAGTATAATTTGCTAATGAAAAAAAAATCAAAGAACTAAATGATGGATTTAATTGAAATTACCTTAAACTATTTATTAATACCAGAGAAAATTACATCTATACTTATTATTATACACCTCATTATATTACATTTAGATGTTGCCACTTCTAAGGAAAACTAATTTCATGGACAAAAGTGAAACATAAAGTTACATATACACAATACTGTATTTTAGTAGATTACATTTACATACTCAAGTTCTGGAAACAATCTTGTTTACTGAGAAAATGGATATCAACAAGTATAAAATAATATATAAAATTCTTTATTTGAGTATACAACCAAAATCTGGTAAAAGTGAATCCAATAATTAGCACATCACTTTTCCCTTTTAACCTTTCTAGTATTATACCAAACACCAATCTTTCCTAGGGAATTCAAGGTGATTAGAAATTAAGATGTGGAAATATGTAAATGAATATGTTGTAAAAATATATCAGCTAAATGGAAAAATGATATCTAGCATGGAGACAAATCTAAGATTTTTTAGGATTAAATCAGCTACAACATGAATAAGTTGCATCATTCCTCAAAGAAAAAGTCAACAAAGCAGTTTTACAACATTTCATTGACTTTGGAAAAAAAAAATACTTAAAGCAAAATAAAAATATAAAAGAACAGTATAACAAAAATCTCTCATTAAAAAATTCTGGAATAGAAACTGTAATGCAGTGATGGCTAACCTTTTCCAGACCGAGTGCCCAAAGCATGCACATGTGCCCGAAACCCCAAAATGCAATGTGCATGCAGCCTCCGCACATGCACCCTGCCCCTCATGCACATGCATGCGGCCCCCACACACACCCTGTCCCCCACGCATGTGTGCAGCCCACCAGAACACCCCCACATGCACGCTGCCCCCATGCATGCCCTGCCCCCCGCATGCACGTGCATCCCCCCGCACGCATCCCGCCCCATGCATGTGCAGTAGAGACCTGACGACCAGCTGGCTGGCGGAAGGCGTGCACACATCGTGGCAGAACTGAACTGGGGCGACAGTTTGTGTGCCCACAGAGAGGGCTCAGCATGCCACAGGTAGCACTCGTGCCATAGGTTCGCAATCATGGCTCTAATGCACCAATGGGAAATAGAGCTTGGTATGAAAAATTAGCAGTCTAAAATAAAATGTTCTAAGGAGGTGGAAATCTTTAAGACCTGTCCCTAGAAGGATTAGTTTGGCTCACTGAAACTAATACACCAATGATACTATACTTCCTATTTTTTAAGCAAAACTTTAAAGTCTATATCTAAGATCTACTGGATGTGGAAATATTGGAACTTATCAGGACATTTAGTGGAATTGTCCAAAAATCCAGCAGTTTTAGGAAATAGTCTTTGGAGAGCTAAATAACCCTGTATATCCTGTTCTCTAGCAACTACAGGATTATGCTTCTTATAAATGTTCAAGTGGAGAAAATGAAAATATAAAGAAATGTGTTTATAGCAGCTAGCATATCCATAGCTCCAACATGGAAGGACACTAATACCCCAAATTTAGCATGCCAGTATTCCAAATGTATAAAATATGTATAAAATATGCATGTCTATACATTTTATCATTATTTCTCTTTTTCTTTTTTTCCCTTTTCTTAGTCAACCATTAGAAACTTTTGAGTAAACTTAATTTAAATTGTCATTTATTAGTTTACTAATTAAAGGTTTGCAATTTTGCAGTTCAATATTTCTAGTTTTCTTTACTGTAATTTCTTATATACATATCAGATTTAGCAATAATTTAGCTTTTTAGCATTTTAGACCTTTAGTATTTTAATAATATTTGAATTTAAATCTAGAATTTAATATCCTATGCATTATTTCATATTTCATAAAGATAGCAGATTTGCAATCACTAATATGATTGCTTTTTTGTATTTTAGACTTTAGCATTTTTGCATTTTTATAGATATTGTATTCTAGCTAGCTTTATCCTAAGTCATGTAAACTATTCTAGAAGGTTTTTTTTAATTATATGAACTTTCTAATTTCAAAGTTTTCCAAAAAAAGAGAAAGCAAAATACTTTAAGCCTTTTACAATGACCTACTTAAAAGAATTTGTATGCAAGAGGAAACTTATCCAACTATTGCAAAACTCATATTGAAGCACCATCTTTAGTAGGTAAACTTCATATTTAAACCATGTGTCTACATTTAAATCCAGGTTGAATGAAATATAGGATCAGACTCTGATGAGTGTTGAAATGTTTTCAGGTTATACCTGGGGACTTACCTGTTGGTTTCTAGAATGGAGAAACATAAGTAATGGTTGATATCACATTCAGGAAAATCTAGCTATAAAGAGAACTATTTAATTATATGAGCTGTCGTTTGAGATTATAGCTTCTCCGCACACTGTTGTTTTGAATGTGTTGTTCTCTCTGAGATATGAATTGCACATTCCCAACCACCTACTCACAGATGTATTATTCAGTTTGTTTATGTGCAACTAAGGCTGGAACTTAGCTTTTTTTAACCTTTCAAATGAACCGTGTGTACGTTACCTGTGTTATCCCCCCCCCATATAATATATTGTGCTGTGAATTCTTAAGCAAATGATAATAAACAAAAATCAGACTTAACCCACATATGAGAGGTTCCACATTCGAAGACAATTTCAATGGAAGTGAATGTCCATAGCATCAATAAACTTAACTGCATGGTGACCTGTACTTTATGCCTTATGTAGAGAATTGTGTATTTTTGAGGTTATAATTATTCCTATTTAAAAGCTGAATTTTCTGATGAATTTCTGTATTGTCTTTTGTCTTTGTGCATATTCATCCAGTTTATTTTCCTAATTTATAGGAAATATGTAATAATATTTGTAGCAACAGGGCTAAAGCCCTAATATGAAAGATGGAGATCTTAACCTTTCTTTCCTAGGCCTGTTCCATATTCTTGTCTTGGTATATAGGTACATATTTGTTTGGGAGTTACCACTGCCTCCAGCTATCAGCTTTTAAAACAGCTTTGCTTAATGCTTAAATAAATAAAAACAGATAAAAGCTTAAGGGCAACGTCCCTTGCTGCTTTTCCTAGACTTAGTTTATTATTTCTTCCCTCAGTTTCAAAAGCCAAAGCCAGTCTTCTCTCCAAAATGGGAAGAGTTGGGGGAATTTCCTCTGGCTATGTGATCAGGTAACCATCTTTCCTCCAGTAAAGTCTGATTCCAAATCTAGGTTTTAGCCAACAGTTGACAGTATGGGTGTCTGCAGATTACTACTCACCACTATGTTCTGAAAATACCAGAGAGGAAGAATTTAAGTGGTAGTTCCACACTCAAATTTGAACTTTGTCACTGAATCTCCCCATCAACACCTTTTAAGGAAGGGCGATGTAAGCCTATTCTGAAGTGTTGTAGGAAGTTAGCACCCACCCCTCTCCTGGAAGAGTGAAATATTTTAGGAAATATGAAAAAGGCAGAATATTATATTTCCCTGGGATAAGCATGTTTTGAAGCAGCTCCCATCTTCCTGCCCCCCACCCTTTGTCAATGGGCCATTAAGGCTTGGGCCAGTCTATTCTACATAACAAAGATCTACCTCCTTCAGGCAGAGCCATAGTAGGAATTGCGAAAGATAGGATTAGCCCTCTACACAATAGCAGCAGAAACTCACCACATGTGACCTGGGAAGCACATGTGACCATCAGCCAGCAAGGCCCCACCCCCTGGGAGTCTGACAACCAATCAGGATACTCTTTTGGGGCCCCAAGGAATGCAGAGCCAGAGAGAGCATAAAAACCCGAGGATTTTACTGTATCAGCCCTTTTTTCTGTTCAGGAACTCAAGCCATGTGATCCTGTCCACCATTAAACCATCTTTCCAAGCAGTCTCCATGTTTCCAGTGTCTGTTTTCCCCACTTGGAGCAGAACCTAAAAGGATGTTTCTTCCAACAGTGTCATAGAACAAGAATGTGGGAGAAGATTATTGAAGTAGTCAGTGGCAGGTATACTAGTTTATTATATCAGAAGGCTGAGATATCTGCCTTATCCATCTGCACATTCAGATCTAAGATTCTCTGCTTGACCTCATTCCCAGCCTTTTTCTAGATTCAACATAGATATAGATTGGATAAACCCACAGTGAGTCAGAGAAGATTTTTTTTTTCTTTCAGCTGGGCAAAATGCCTACCCCCATATATTTATTTGAGGTAAAACCTCAAATAGGCCTCAACAAAGAAGTATGCAAGTGCTAACTGAACAAGATTTGCAACTGAGTGTTGAACTTAGAAATGTAGATTGGGTACTGATTCCCTCAAACAATGCTGTTCACCATACAGCAAAAAATAAAACTTTGGCTTTTAACAATTTGATTGCTAAGACTGTATAATTATTCCCTTGTATCTGATTATTGAATTAGCAACGTTTTGTGCCTAAAACTTAAAGACTTAGACTTAGAATAACTTTATTGTCACTTTGAATGTACACTAATTGGCATACATTAAAATGAAATTTTGTTGCATACAGCATTCAACTGAAAACTGAAATTTCCAGGAAGTAGAGTAATTAAAAGAAATGCCTAGATCAGTATTTATCAACCTTATCAATTTTAAGATGTATGGACTTGCGGTCTGTTAAAAGCTCAATTTATTTTTAGTACTGGGAAATCTCTAATAAGA